GAGCTGTGACCTCACCTTATCCTGCCGCACAGGAAAAGGGGCTCAGAACGCTGGGCCCGACGCATGCACAGAGGCAGGGTCAAGTTGTATGTGTGGCCAAGAGAGAAAGAGAAACAGTGTTAAATGACAACAATAATTAATGTATGCTCTGTACTGTAAATATGAGAATGTATGTGGCAGGAAAGGGACTGAGAGAGATGAAGCGATAACAGTTCAATGTAATAAGACATGGGGGAAATATAGAGACATTGAGCGCCTTTTAAAGCTGGAGCTGCCAGGATATACGGGAGTAGGATATTGCGTTGCCTGCCAGTCATAGGATTATTTCAGACATATGTTCCAGAGGATTGTGGAAGAAACCTATTATGAAATTTTACAGTATTCACCAGCTTTTTAAGTGATGAAATCTTGAAATTGTTTCAGCCCATTGCACATGTAAATATGCCAGTTTGGCTAATTTACTGCCTTGATTCACATCAGAGGCATTACAGAGCTGGGGTCACCTGTGCCTGTGTACGCTTGTATAGAGAAGAGAGAAGCCCAGCCAACAGGTCCAACTAGTAGAGACAGGCCTAGGACTAGATGTTAGTTACCTCCATGTTACACTTATTTCTTTGTGAGGGGTCAGTTCCAAGATAATAATTAAAATAATTAATATCAATACAGAATATCAGATGATGTTCTGCAGCCCAGATTAAATCATTTATAGGGGGTACTGAGGGATTTATGGCTTAATGACTGCTAGTTTATTCATTGTTGTTACGAATGCATATCTGAGAGTTGTCAGAATATAAATCTGGTAGTTGTGCTAAAAGTTTGAAATGTGGGCCTGGGTTAATGTGGTTAGACTGTGGAGGTTTAGGTTGGTGGGAGGAACTGATGAACAGAAGAGACACGGGAGCCAAATAGATCCTTTGACAACACTCCATGCTCATGTTCTGTGTTTTCAATAAGTCAACGTGTGACTTTGTGCTTGCCTTTGAGAACAAGCAGAGAGAAAGAGTTGATGTTTATAAATGTGTGCAGCATCAATATAAATCTTCCACTGGTCTCCTCTGTCTTGGGGAGCTCCACCAAAAGCATCAGTTCTCAGCCATCTGCTCATGGTTATGGCAGCGCAACTGCAACACTGTGGCAAGTTCTCTCACAACAAGATCGATGCTGAAATAAAATCACCCACAAACACATGCAATACATTTACACAGTCACACATACACATGGACAAATGCCCACTCTGCAGTGACGAGGAGACAGATGAAGTTTGAGAAGTTGAGCTCTACAGGGACTCAAGGAGCAGGAAAAGATAGATTTATTTGCTTGTATGCTTATGTATTTATTCATCAATTCATTCTGGTTCTGATGATGGTTAAAAGATATTTTCCAGACTTTAAAAGAAGGTCTTCAAACTTTGATCTTTACAAACGTGCTTACTATTTTCAAACTAATCAGAATTCTGTACATTTTAGGATGCCAGGTACATCCTGCCTACCAGTCCAGTTCATGTGCAGTAAGCATCTCCAAAGGCATGTAGTGTCCTCGGAACTCAGCAGGGCCAAGGCACAAACAAATGATGGATCAGTTTGGATCTTGATTATAAATTGTGTCTTTCCTGTTATCCCGTTGGTATGTTATCTTAGAAATATAACCTTATCTAGAGCCTTGAGTTCAGGAGGTGAAAATAAACGGGTGAGAATGAGAACTGGACTGGAACTCATTATAAAACACAAGCAATCAAACCTGTGACAAGGATCACATTTGAATAAATATGATAATTGTGTTCATGGCTTTAAAGGATGAGGATATTTAAGGTTTTGTTATTTTCCACAAATCCCATACCCAATGAATTTTGTTTACTCACCACAATGAAATGATTAAAAAATGGAGATTTTAAAATGAAGTGTATAAACACACTAAACTCAGACTGTTATTCTCTACCATAAATGTCACTGCAAATGACTGCATAGTTGCACAATTAATGACAAAACTAAATATGTTTTGTTATCAGAAATAATAAAAGTAAAGTATAAATGTACTATTCCCTGAGCACCACACAAACACTCAGTGGGCATGTGGTCTCCTAAGCAAGAAGAGATGGATTGATTACTGTCCTTGTCTACTGCCCCTCATCCCTTCCCACATCCACCTCGCTCCCTCCTCCACATCTCCTCCCTTGCTCTGCTTCAGTGATGCAGGTGGAGGACTGACCTAAAATCTGGGGTGATGAATGACTCCCATCTTGCTGATCCTAGCAGTACAAAACGTGTGTGTCTCTGTGTGTGTGTGTGTGTGTGTGTGTGTGTGTTTTAGCCCAGTCTGCTCTGCTGTTTCCTCCCTCAGTTTATAGTCTTAAACTTTTACATCCAAATAAAACCTTAATAAAAATGAACACCTTGAGTGCAACTTCCAATATTAAAGCCATTTTAAATGACTCTATATACCTGTATTTACCTAAAGGCTGTTAATATATATCAACATGAAATTTTATATTAAAAATAAATAACGTGCATGTGACAAATGCTTTGCATAAACCTGATAAACGGCTATTTTTGTCCAAATTCCATGACACTTTTCTAATGATTCTTCAGTGAATGTAAAAGAGATAAAATAGAAAAATTCTTTAAATGTATAGGGACCTCTATGGTTTTGTACATTTGCGTGGTGCCCTTGAAAACCATGTCACACGAAAAACGTGAATAGACTTATTTCCATGCACAATGTGCCATGCTGGGATAAACACCTCTTTTGATGGCGCATGGTGCACTCCTTTGTTTCAAACACTACTTCCACTGAAGGGAGCTGGGGGGCACCAAAATCTGCTCTCCAATCCCTTCTCTCTGCTCACTTTCAACCGTATTCCACAACCTCCCTTTCTTCTGTCCCCCCTTTTTGTGTAGCTACCCGAATAAATTAGTCAAGGCGGCGAGGGGAGGAGGAGGAGGCGGGGGAGGGTGTGGAAAAGAGTAGGGGGCTGGGCCTTGTGGCGGACCAGTCGGTTTTCAGTCGGTGAGGTGTACGGTACCTTGTAGCGGGTCTGTTTAAGCACACACACGCACATACTGTACACGCGCCGTGTATGAATGATTGGATGCTGACAGAGAGAAGAGAGGAGATAAACGCTTAGGAGCGGGGACAGCACTGCAGAGCTGTAGACGGCTCCTTTCTGCGGCAGGCAGCAAAAAATTGTGGCGCTTCCAGCTGATTCAGACGCGCTCACCTGACACGGAGACGCAAAAAGACCTTGGCTGGGGGAGTAACCCAGTCTACCGGTGTATGGGATTAAACAGATTGTGGAATTGGCTCCACTGCCATTTTTGTGGATATTATGTAAAAGCAAACAAGCAAGCAAGCAAACAAACAAAACCTAGTCCGCTTGGCCCTCCTGGCTCCATTCAAGATTTTGTCCTGGTGGATTGACGTTAAGGGGGCAACTGGAAACCCGTTTGCATACTAATCAGGTTGTGGAGCGGATATCCAGAGCGCACATCCAGAGTGGGTCAGATGAATGTAAGTGACAGCTCCTCTGCTCGCACTTTGCATGTTCACGTTTACTGATGCCTGTGATCAGTAAGGGATAAAGGTAGAGAAATGAGCTTTTGTTTGGTGGAAGCTTTTGGTTTTCCATAGGGGTACACCCTACATCTGCACCTTGCATGCATGAGCTGGTGGCAGGTCCCCTGCTACTGTGATGTGGAGAGACTGCAGTAGAGGGACTACAATAAAATGCTATAAGATCAATAAGTCTTTGTGATGCAACAGAGGCTGAAATTAATTTTAAATTACCATTCACAGCTGAGCCAGCTGAAAAGGGAGGTTTGGAAAAAGGAAAGAGTATTCCTATTTAAATTATATGGTGAACATGTAAAGGAGGTTATATAAACTCATTATGTCTTATGGAACTATTTAATAAGAGTAAGTCAGTGGTTTCTTCCCTGGAGTTGGCAACTTTGAGTGAATATATTTTGTTTTGGAAGGATGACAGAACCACTGAATGGGGAACACCAAGAAGTGCACAAAGTGGGCCAGCAGATATTTCCTGGATACACCAACTGATGTGACTGTGCAGGGTTTTAGGATAGCTGCAAGGCATCACTACAGTGGACAGAATTTGAAGGGGCGTTGTGTGTTTTAGAGAAGGTGAGACCATTACGGTAGCTACAGCAAGGTCTGTGTGCTGATGCTTTTGGCTTCCTCTTAACTGTGTGATTAAGGAAACAGGACTAAAACATCACCGAAGCACTGTATTAAACCTCAAACATAAAACAAATAAGAGAAAGAAAGACAATTTTAGGTAGCAAACACTTTCTTGTTTTTGTAACATGAGGTGTAATTATAGCAGCCATTTCTGTCTGTATATGTTTACATGGCCAAAGCTAAAAATGGGATCCCAGAGGCATATTTAAGCACCTAACCACAATTGTTATCCTCGTCATATCTGGTGTCCACTGGCACCCACAGCTTCTGGGTTTCAGTTGTAAGGAACGATATGAATCTCTACATGATCAGAATCACTTTTATTACCCAAGTATGTTTAAACACACAAGAAATGACATACATAGTTGGTCCCACATGCTCCAACTAAATAGTATATTAGCCTTAGCTTCAGCCTTTGGTCTGCATCCTGTAAAGGTTTGGTTTCTTGTGGGCTGGTGAGGTGTGCAGTAAGACATGTTTTAACAGGAACCATATGGATATCTACTGGGGTGTCTGCAACTGAGTAAGACCGTACAGCTTGTTTGTCCAAACAACTTATAATTCATCACATCAGCTGCTAAGAGGGGCAAGGTCTCTTTTACAGGAGCAGGATTGAAACATGAACTCATAATGCTAATATTTAAAGGATAAAACAGTGGAATTCCAGTTGATTGAGCCAAGACTATAAATGAATCTGATATTGTGATGGCTGGGTTGGATTGTGGCAGCTGAGGTGTCCACCACAACCTCCCTGTGAAAATTGTTTGTATTCCTCTTTAACTAATTGACCAGCAGAGCAGTGATAATAAATATTACTATTAGCCATTTCTGCTTGTGTTTTAACACTGTTTATAACAAGTGTGTCAAGGCAGAGAGGACTGCTCTTTCAGTTCAGGTGTGTTGAATTTGTCAGCAATGTAAATATCGTTTTGTGTCCCGTGCACTTAATGTGGTTCTGTGCAGCTCAGTGTGTGAGAATGATACAGTACTGGCTTGATTGTCTTCAGGACCATGTTCAAAACAAACAGCCTTCTTAGGCAGCAGCATCAGCTAAATGACTTCATTTTGTAATTTTTAGGGGAGGTGACTAAACAGTACTTACTACCCTCCAAATGCATTTGGCTCATTGTAAGTTGAATTATCTGGAGTGCTTGTTGGCAGAAACATGGTATCATATGGGACTTGTTTTTGCATCTTATTCTGCTATTTATATAATGAAAACTTAGACCATCCACTTTCTTTAGGGAGTAGTTTTGTTTATTATAATGGCACCACAGTAAGGAAATGTCCAAGTTGATGCTTTATTCTTTTGCAAATCTCAAGAAATCATGAGAGTTTACTTTAAAATCTGGAGATATACAGTGCAATCAAATTGTGCATTCGCCACCCACATTGTCACAGAAATTGAGCTTGTACTGTGTATACCGTTGTCCTCTTTCTATCTCCCACAAAACCCCATAAAAGAAAAATTTGGCTTTGACAGTCAAATTCTTGATTTTATCCTCTAACTGAATTCTCACAAAGTCACATGTCTGACTTGGAATTGTTAAGTAAAAGACTCTACATGTACAATATTGCAGAAAAAAAAACTGCTGAGAGTGAAGGCTTTTGTGTAATGTCTGCTTCAGCTCACCAACACAAATCATGAAGTGACTGCCAAAAGAAAGAGGATGAGGGGGAAAAACAGAAAGCATCTTTCCACCCAAATGTTGCAGCTCAAACTAAAATCTAATTGTATCCCAGAACAGTTTTTTCCTGGGTTTTGTTTTTATGCTTGGGAAGTCAGCGTCTGAGTACAAATATCGGAAAGTGACTCAGAGGCTCGCTCTCCCTCTTTCTCCCTCTCTCACACAAACACACAAATAAGCATGCACACAACATACACTCCTTTACAAGTCTAACTTTACCTTACTTGACTATATTCCTAACTGTCTTGTACATTAACCTAAACCAAATTCTTACTCCTAACACCAAGTGCTATACAGCAAATGCAAAATGAACACATTAAAAACAACACAGTCAAGATAGTGGTTTGTCCTCACAAGTATAGAAACAGGACACACTCACCACTGTGTTGGCCATGAATCAGTAGCAGATGACAGCCAACTAAAAACTAACGTTAACATAAATAAGATTGTTTTCCTCCTCCCTGCCTCCACAAGTAGCTAGTGGAAATATTTACTCTCCATCTTTCACTCACTGCATGATGCTGATGCCCGGGATCTCCCAGACCACCATCTTAGACATAACATAAACCAAAGACTCAATACTGAGGGAACTTCATGTAATTTTTTTTTTAGGCAATATGAAACTATAACCAGTGTAAATCTGCAGCTATGCGTGAGAGAGTAGTTTTAAAATCCCCTTTTGTTTGCATCATCTGTCCACAAGGTCAGGCAGCTATTAATAGTAATTAATAGTGAAGTCACAAAATAAGATTCACATTGATAAGGAATCCCCTTTGCTGATTGCGCCACATTATATTAAATGAACCCTCAGGGCCTCCTGGTTGTCATGGCAGCCTCAGGTCTGCAATCTTGCCATGATTATAATCATGAAATTTAATTAGATCATTGTAAATAGTGTGTTTTGCTTACACGCAAGAAAAGCGGTGCAAAAAATCACACTGGAATTTAAATGCAGCTTTGTCAGGTTGGTTTCTGTAATATAGTAGCAGATATAGTATTTTGAATGCTCATCTAATGTAAAATGAATTCCAAATTTATACACGTGTGGCTATAGAAACATGTTATTGTTAAATAAATTCTAGCAACATGATTCAAACCTTGCTACGTAAGCATCCAGTCATACCTCCTCTTTTAGCATGGACTGAAGCTTAATTTTTTCCTAACAGTGTACCGTAGTCTTTCCCAGGGGAAACACAGATCTTAACTTCTAACATACAGTCTGAAGACCCATCTATCTGTTGCTCTGGAGAAACTATTACTGTATGATTGACTCACCCAATCAAAGGAAATGGCTGGACTCCCCTGTCAGATGCAGACTGATTGACTAGCTGGAGCTTTGAGTCGGTGCACTTCAATTTTTGATTGTTCTGAGGCCCAGCTCTAAAGCTTTCATCATTATTCATGCTCTTTGTCCAAGATGTTGGGATCCTGCAAGTGTAAGGATCAGGTCAGTTCGAGGGAAAGGCTACAGACACTGGCCAAACAACAACAACAACAACAAAGAAACATCTTTACCGTGCATTACAGTTGTTACTGTCTGCAAGACTATGGGGAGACAGCTTTTGGACTAGTTCTACTGCAGATCAAAAATACCAAATTTCAAATGTCTTGACTTGCTGCAGAGTAATCTTTAAATCGGATAATAAAACTGGATCCAAAATAGCCAGCATAGCCAGACCAGGCCTAGTGCTCTCATGAGTTTCCCCATCTTGTGCTTCTCCCTGTGGGTTGACCCTGTGACACCATGTGGATCTAGCTCACTGGACCTCTGCATTTCTTGTTATTGACCTGGATGGATGGAAGAAGCCTGTCTGCGCATGCATATAAGCATGTATGCACTCATGTACGGATAGAGATATGTCATTAGGGTTGCAACTAATGACTGTTTCCATCAACCTTTAATCTGACTGTCCAAAACTCAAATTTATTTAATGTACAAATAAAACAAAAACACATTTGCAAGGCTATAACCAGCAGGTGTTTGGCATTTTTACATATATTAATTGTCAAGCTACTATCAAGTGGATTGACAGATGGTTTCAGTGCTAAATATCAGTCTGTTATTTTGAATATCAATAGAGACATTTCTTCTCTGTGCTTTTTATTGATTCTTTCCTGCCGAGGAGACAAGGCAGACATGTGTGTCGTATATGTTCACCTTTCTGAATGAAGTGATGTTTGAATTTATTTAGTCACATGAAGAGATCGATGGGAATGGCTTTGAGCAGAGATGAATGAAATGTGGTAACTGCTGCCCATCTGTGTGCTTGATGGATGAGAAGTGTTTAAGCTCCGGAGGCTAACAGGCTGAACAGAGAGTAAGAGGGAGCCTGTCTCTGCACCATCTCATGTGTTTTTAATGAAGTAAGTGAGATGATCTGAGCTTCTGGTAACTTCAAACTGAGAGTGGCTCAGGTAGAGCAATGTGTTATACAAGTTAAGGGATTCAGAGGCTGGATGAATGTGGGTGGTGTGAGATGAAAGGAGGAAACCAAAGCTGGCCAGAAGAAAGATATGAAAGGAGAGACCTTTATAAATATCCAAAAACCTATTTACCATTGATATTTTTGTCACATAGGGCTGTATAGTGGTGTGGTAGTTAGCACTGTCGCCTCACAGCAAGAA